ATACTAGAGGCCCAGTGCATGAAATTCATGCATGGGTAGGGTCCCTAGGCCTGGCCGGCGATCAGGGCGATCTGTGGGGTGACCAGCAGGGTGATCGGGACCCCCGCTCACACCCACCTTAGCTGGCCTGGCGCCACCCAGTCACCAGCCCCCACCCCCACCCCCACCCCCACCCGCTGCCAATGGGTCAGGGTTTGTGGGCTGGGACAGCTCCTGTGTTGAGCATCTGCCCCCTGGTGGTCAGTGCATATCATAGCAACCCATCATTCCACAGGTGGTTCCACTCTTTGGTCGATTTGTATATTAGGGTTTTATTATATAGGATGCTTATATATTAGATCAAAGGTAATTGTTTTTCTGATCTATTTCTTTTGTCTCCTTGATCAATTTCTGAGAAAGAGATGTTAAAGTCTCCCTTTCTATTTATTTCAAAGTAATTCATTGGCCACATTGGATAATCGATCATTGTTAAAGCTAGGTGATGGATACATGGGAATTCATTATGATATTCTGTGTACATTTGCATATGTTAAAAGTTTTCCATTAAACAAGTTTATATATATCAAATCAGTCATTTTGATAATTATTTGGCAACATTTTGAAAATTAATCTCAAAATGTCCTTATGCTTCAGTTAAGAAAAAGAGAAATGACCTCCCTGCCATCTCTGTCCCTATTCTCTGTGCTTTTACATTGTCGGAGCAGAACATAGGGGCACCTCCTTCCATAACCACTCTCCATGGCCTTCAGTTACCTTTTTCTATAATTCTTTGGAGGATTAATTTTTGAGGGGGTGTCCTAGATTTTCTGATTTCTGCTTTTAAAATCACAATTTATATATGGAGAATATTGTCTCCACATATAGTTAATAGGGTATAATAATAATAATAATTGTAGATTCTCTTCCATCTACTACAGGTGGTTATTGGAGATCATGAAGGGGTAGTTTTGTGCTTTGGCATGAAGAAAGGAGAAGCAGTGGTATGTATAGCATTTTTAGGGGAAAACAAGAATTTCTAAAAGAGAAACACACCACTTACTGCATAATCCTAAGTTAAAAATTTTCTAAAATTCAGTGACAAATGGGTTGTGCGGGAAATAGTTATATGAAGTACGCGGCTACAGACAGCACGAGTCACTTGCCAGCTATTTGTGAAACAACTTTGGCAGCCTACGGTGACTTATCAGTGTTGTGTGCTGAGCAGCAAATCACCCCAAACGTGGGGCTTAGCGCAGCGCCGTTTATTATCTCAGTTCCCTGGGCCAGGAGCCCGTGCTCACAGTTCCACATGGCTGCAGTGGAGACGCCAGCCAGGCCCTGTTCCCTTCCGGAGCTCAAAATCCTGTTCTGAGCTCACGTGGTTTTCCGCAGAATTCAGTTCCTTGCTGTTGAAGGACTGAGGTCCCCACTTCATTGCTGTCTGTAAGCCAGGGCGGGTCTCAGCTTCTGGAGCCCCCACAGTTCCTTGCTGGGTGGTTCTCTCCCAGGCCCTCACAGCTTTGTGACCTACTGCTCGGACCAGCAGGAAAACCTGCCAGGTCTCTAAGACGCAGGCTCACATAGCACAGTGTTCCATGGAGGTGACTGTCCCTCACCTTTGCCACTTCATGTACCTAATCAAGGAAGTGGTTATTACAGCATCATAGCCACAGATCATAATTTACAAGGAATGGGTTTGAGATGGGAACTCTAATATTCGTTATACTTTATATGGGATTTACAAAAAGATAAAGTGAAAACTATCAGAAAATTAATATTTCCATTATTCGTATATCCTCTCAGATTTTTTATTTTTATTATTATTTAAATCCTCACCCGAGGATATTTTTCCATTGATTTTTAGAAAGAGTGGAAGAGAGAGGGAAAGACAGAGAGAAATATTGATGTGAGAGAAACACATTGATTGGTTGCCTCCTGCACTTGCCCCGACCAGGGCCTGGGCCAGTGAAGAGCCTGCAACCAAGGTACGTGCCCTTGATCAGAATCGAACCTGGGACCCTTTGGTCTGTAGGCTGACGCTTTATCCACTGAGCCAAACCGGCTAGGGCTTCCTCTCAGATATTTTAAAGTCACAGAAGAATCTGATGCCAGTAATAAAATGGAAAATAAGCAGGAAGAAATTAATACCAGTGTTGTTTCCCATTCAATAGAGAAGTAGTAAAGGGGGTAGTCAAGGTTTCCAGTAAATTATGTAGTTATTTATACTGCTGACATTTATAAAAATTAGAAACTAGGAGAGGTTAGTTTTTAAAAAGAAGATTCAGTGTAACAACATGTCCATTGGAACCGGGGGGGAATCTTGTGAAAATGCAGATTCTCATTCTGTAGACCTGGGGTTGGGCCTGAGAGTCTGCATTTTCACAAAGTAGTGATGTAATGCCACTGTGCAGTGAGCTCTGCTCTGAGTTGCAAGGGTTTAGGTTTTAATGATGTCACTGAAATACATGTGGGAAAAGTATTCCAGAATTTTAAGATATTTAGCAAAAAACCCAGAAGACCTACTGAAATAAATTTGTATCTAAAACTATTTCTATATAGTAGAACTATAGAATTTTTGTAAATTTAAAATGCCAGCTTTTTTACAGTAAAGGAAAATGCTCTTAGTAACTTTGTCTACTTAATTTCTCCCCATGATTCCTGCAGGTAGTGTTCAAGACTTTACCGGGGCAGAAGATCGCAAGATTGGAGCTAGGAGGCATTCTTAACACACCCCAGGAGAAAATTTTTGTTGCTGCAGGATCTGAGATTCGAGGTTTCACAAAAAGAGGAAAACAGTTCCTCTCTTTTGAAACAAACCTCACTGAAAGCATTAAAGCTATGTATGTTTATTCTCTTTTGTAATATTTCTTTTTACATTTTTAACATTTTGGAAAGGTGACAAACATTTGATTAAGTATCATACCGTAACAGGTTTTCTGGGAAATAAAATTGTCTAAAGGTATTTTATTATTTGGAATTTAAATTTGACCTAGAATCAATATAAAATCAATGGGTTATTGAAATGTTTTCTTGTTAAGGCTTTTATAGTATTTCTACATTTATTCTATTTTCTTTTAATATATTTTATTGATTTCAGAATAGGAGGGAGAGGGAGAGAGATAGAAACCTCAGTGATGAGAGAGTATGATTGAGAGGCTGCCTCCTGCACACCCCACATTGGGGATTGAGCCTGCAACCCAGGCATGTGCCCTGACCAAGAATTGAACTGTGACCCCCTGGTTCATAGGTCGATGCTCAACCACTAAGCACTGCCAGCTGGACTACGTTTATTTTTGACTGGTTGACTCAGTTATGATTTATAATCAAGGGATAAAAGAAAAAAGTGGAAGAGATCTCTCGATGTTTAAGTTTCTGTTTCTTTGCTGTCTGATAGTTCCAGTTTCAAGGTAGCATCATTTTCTCAGAAGGCTAGCCATCAAAGTTGATGGCTACCAATAGGGTATAATTTCAGGTGGATCAGGTAAGATTCTAAGTGAAAACTAGCTCTTTCAGTGGTTTCCTGATGCAGTTAAAATGTTAGGTTTTGAATCTTGGAAAGGGCTTTAAAGTTCAACTCATCTGTTTCTCAAACCTGCTACTTAGGAGAAGCGTCTAGAAGCCTGAATCAAGAGATGCCTGGCCTGGCCGGCATGGCCAGTGGTTGAGCTTTGATCTATGAACTAGGAGGTTGGGGTTCAATTCCCATCAAGCACATGCCCTGGTTGCCTAGATTGCAGCTCGATCCCCACTAGGGGGCGTGCAGGAGGCAGCCAATCGATGATTCTCTCTCATCATTGATGTTTCTGTCTCCCTCCTTCTCCTTTCCTCTCTGAAATGAATTTTTTAAATATATTTTTAATTAATTAATTAATTATCTTAGAAAGAGCAGTCCCTTGTCCTGTGTTGTACCCGCAGAATCGGAATCATTAGGAGCAGGTTAGAAGAAGACAGTCCCTCATCTGCATCTGATGCAGCCACGATGTCTCAGCAGCCAGGCCTCGGTTGGAAAGTACTGATTCAGTCAGAGTTCTGTGTATGCACAGCTCTCTGATCCACGCACGCACATGCCTGACTTCAGGGCTGCAAAACCTGAGCTTGGTGAGATTAGATAAGAATTCAACAATGGCAAGTGGAAGTACCTTCAGAGCTTTAGCAAAAATATAGTACTTTTGAAATGCTTTTGTAGATAGACATAGCCAATGAGGATTGTGAAATACTGTAATCAAAGTAATACAGTAATTATTAACATGCCTCCACATTTAGAAAGGTATGTGGAGCCCTGTCTGGTTTGGCTCAGTGGATAGAGCGTTGGCCTGTGGACTGAAGGGTCCCAGGTTTGATTCCGATCAAGGGCACATGCCTGGATTGTGGGCTCAATTCCCGGGGAGGGGGCGGGTGCAGGAGGCAGCCAATCAGTGATCCTCTCTCATCATTGATGTGTCTATCTCTCCCTCTCCCTGCCTCTCTGAAATCAATAAAAAATATATATTTTTTAAAAAGGTATCTAGACAGAGTGTTCGCCCCAATATTTCCAGTACCCACCTGGGACCATGCATAGTTCTTACAATATTACTGACTACATTCCCTATGCTGTACTTTATATACCCAGGACTATTTTGCAATAAAGAGTCTAGTTTTTATTTTTTAAATATATTTTTATTGGTTTCAGAGAGGAAGGGAAAAGGAGAGTGAGAAACATCAATGATGAGAGACAGTCATTGATCGGCTGCCTCCTGCACACTTCCTACTGGGGATTGAGCCTGCAACCTGTGCATGTGCCCTGACCAGGAATCAAACCATGACTTCCTGGTTCATGGGTCCATGCCCAACCACTGAGCCACACCAGCTGGGCATTTCTTTTTTAGAGAGAGTGGAAGGGAGGGGGAGATACAGAGAGAGAAACATCGATATGAGAGAGACACATTAATTGGTTGCCTTCTGTGCACACTCTGACCAGGCCTGCAATTGGACCTGCATCCGAAGTACGTGCCCCTGACTGGAATAGATCCAGGGACCCTTCAGTCCACGGGCTGACACTCAACCATTGAGCCATACTGGCCGGGACTAGGAGTCTGGTTTTTATTATTTTTTTATTTATTTATTT